CGGCGGCGTGTCCCCGTGTGAAGGGCAGTGGGAGGGGGACACACTGGAGGGGCAAAGCGCTCTAAGATGCTTCCCCTGAACAACCTAAATGAAACTTTCCCGAGGGCAGCTCCGTGGGAGAGATCAAAGACACCAGATGCCATCTGCATGCAGGACACTGTCCGGGGGGGAGGCAGGGAGTCATCTACCGGGGCTGAATTTCTTTGTGCAGACTTAATTACTTGTTCCTGCTTCCAGGGGAGCATGGCGGGAGCTCCGCACGGGGCACCCCACAGGCTGCTTGCCGAGTGAAGCCCAAGGGACCCTGAGGGCCCCCATCTCAAAGATAAACCATTGCCGAGTCATCCGCGGCTGCCAGCTGGACTGCAAAGCTGGTGGTAGAGATGGGGGTGGACAGGACACGGAGTCAAAGCACAGAGCATTCTAGAACACTCCCAGGATTCACTGACCTGAAGGGAATTCCAAAGCCCGAGAGCAAATTGAACCTGAAAGGCATTCTCGGAGTTTGGAGCAGCGTCTGAGGTGCCCTCCTGGATTAGCAGATTCCAGTAATTCTGAATACTAACTGGGGTTCCCGCCAGCCCATGCACAGAGTTCAGGAATGAAGTGGCTTTCTTGATGACCTCTGCTTTGTTGCTTTTCTTCTGCAGTTACTGTAAGATTAAGCTCTGAGGGAAAACACAACCAGTTGAAATTCATCACACCCCCTTTGGCGCTTCTGCTATATTTTGATATCCTGCTAACATAGCCTGTTTGTCACAGGACCGCGGGGGCTCCGCGGTGTCCTCACCCCTTGCTGACATGGGGAGAGAACCGGGTAGCCCTTTCCCACCAGGTTACCACTGCGCACTTGGCTCCTGGAGGGGCTCGGATTCGTCGTCTGAGTAAATGCATCTTTGTACCTTGCTTTCTAGACGTAGAGCACCGCATTAAGAGTGACATATGCACATCCGTTTTTACACTTATGAGTTTCCTCAAAAAAAATATTTTTATGCTGCAATTTTCCATATTTGATCTTTGCCCCAAATCACTACTTTGCATCACAGTGGAAAAGAAAGGCATGTGAAAGGCACATTTCACACCTGAATGCCGGCAGAAGCCCATCCAGGAGCCAACCAATGGGAAAAGTTACCTGAAGAATAGTCGCCGGAGCTTAGACTTAAAGAAAAGGTTGCTATTGTAAGTAATTTCAATGCTTTCCCCCCATCCATGGAATGTGTTGGATTGGTGTCTGCATTTCTCCTGCCTTTCCAGAACAATGTGCTGTGCCCCACTGCGGAGCAAGTCGGTGACCTTCAGGCACCATTGTCTTCTTGCACTTCCTCTGAGAAACTGAGAGTGGAGTTCGATGTGGAAAAGGCTGGGGCCTCCTGCCCGAGGCATTTCGGATGTGCAGCCTGGGACCCCGCGTGCTGAACTGTAGAATCCACCCCCACCCCAGCAGCAAAGGACAGAGAGCTGGACAGAAAGGCCCCATCCTTCCCCCTTTAAAAATGTGTATGGCTTCTGTGAACATAACGACGACCTCTTTTTCTGCACCACCCGCCACCGCCCGATTCTCCACTTCCTCCCTTTTCAGGTGGTTAGACGCCTGGCCGATTCTCAGCTGTGTGTGTCCTCTGGGTCTCTGGGTCCAACACCGGCCTGGGGCCAGCAAGGCTTCCGGCCGCACTGCTCCAAGCCACAGTATCCCAATAAGCGAGCACCGAGCCTCGAGTTGCCCCAGGGCGGGGAAGGACCTCTGTCAGCAGCTCCAGTCCCTCTGAAGAAGGTCTGTGCACACAAGCACAGCCCCGTCCCCTCGGTGGAAGAGGGCTGCACCCCAGGGTAAGTCACCGTCTAGAGGCCAATCCGGGGGTCCGCTTGCATGTCCTCCTGAGGAGGAGGGGCTTACCTGCGTCCGTCATGTCGCCCCTGAAACAGCCCCATGACACTCAGGTTGGAAGAGGGACCCTTAGCGGCCAGCTAGTTAGGGGGACAACCTGAGATCACTTCCCCCAAGGGCCTCAGGTGGGGGGTCAGCAGGCAGTGCCCACCTGCCTCGGGTTTCGACCTCTGTCTCGCCAGTCCAGGCTCCTAACCCAAAATGCCAATGCTCTCCACCCAACAAGCCAGCCTCAAGAAAATCGACCACTTCCCACCAGTCTGGAGAAACCAAAACCAAACCGGCAAAACCAAACCAGATCGTTTTATTCTGCAGTTTCCTTTTACCAGAACACTACTAAAAATATAAATATAAAATCTCTAGAAAATACTCATACTCAGAATAGATCTGTCATCTTCCTCTCCCAGACTGGGACCAAACTCTTTGTTCTTTCAAAGCTGATGGACCATAAGCATGTTTGTCTTCATACTGTCCACGTACATCACACAGGTAAGTTATGCTCTGTGCAGGGGAATGCGCCACCCTCTTGCCAGGTTCTGGAAGCTCACCTGTGATTTATCAGGGGAAGGCTACGTGCTGACTAGAGGGATACAGTAGGGTTGTGGGCTAACAGGGAGGGAAGAGACTCTGTGCCCCCAACTTCCTTATGCAGACCCAGAAATTGGGTCCTTTGCTCCTCATGATCCTGCCCTTGTGTCGACAAGGCCACCCAAGGGCCAAGCTCCTAGAGAAGCTGGACTATGAGGTGTTGGGGGGGGGCGGCAGTGGCTGCCAGGCTGTGATCACAGGGCGGTCAGGCTGTTGAGACAGACACAGGAAGGCGGGCAGAGCCCAGGCCCTCAGCGGGACTAGAAGTGGCCATCGCTGCCGCCTGGGGGCAGCACTCAGCCCCTAGCACCAGGCAGTATCTGCTGCATCCAGGACGAGACTTCAGGCTCGAGCCCCTCTCCCCCAGGTGGCAGCATCCCCCCAGCCGAGGGAGGATGACGGCTGGGGTGGAGATCATAGAGAGGCCAAAGATTGGAGCAGGGTCCCACACGGGCCCTTGTTCAGCATCAGACACTGGTCTGACGAACTCCAGCGTCATCCTGGCGATGGTCCTGGGACGACCTGGGATCCCTGGGCTAACCCTGAGTCTGAGGGCCAGGATCTCAGCAGCGGCTGGGTATGGCATGGAGAGCAGTGTGCTTCAGCCTAACCCCAGGCCTGCCAGCTCTCCGCACGACCAGCCACCACGTCACCTGGCCGGGGCTACCCTGATCTCTGAGGCAGGAGCCCCAGGGCGCCAAGGCTCTGCTAAGTTTCCCGCCAGAGAGGCGAACCGAGCTTCTGGCGTGGAAGCTCCCAGCACCCATCTTTAGGTTCTCTGCCCCCATCCCCAGCGCTGTGTTGGGTGCAGAACTCCAAGCTGTTCTGGGAGAACTCACAGTCTTCCAAATGCTAGTCCCGAAAACTTCTGAGTCTCGGGGTCAGAGATCATATCGCCGTGATGTCCTTGGAGGAAGGCAGCAGGATCTAGACCGTCAGTAGCTGCGCTGCTCACTGCACCCCGGCCAGCAGGGTGCCCGGCCTGCGCAGCCCCTCGGGGAAGGGAGCCGAGGCTTTGCAGGGAGCACGTGGTGCAGCCTGGCCTTCCGGAGCAATGGGAGATGGGGCGCGAGACGGGGCGGGAAGGCTGCAGAAGCAAGAATGCAGGAAGGGCAGCTGGCACCCTGGCGAGCCTACCCCCCATCAGGCTCTGGGTCCAGAGGAGTTTGCTTGGATGTTTCATGCGGCAGAGGTTGGGGGGGGGAGCAGTAACTGGGTGACGGTGTGAAGTGGGAAGTGAGCAGTATTGGGGGGCACGGGGAGCTGAATGGACAGAAAAGGGGTGGCCGCAGGAGTCCCAGGAGGAAGACTGCCCACCGGCCTGCCACAGCTGGATATGCCACGCCAGCCTTCTCCCGGGGAGCCGGCCACCCTGTTCAACAAAAGGGAGGTTCTCTTCTTGCTGCAAAGGCCCCCAGGGTTGGGATCGCCCCCTGACAGGGTCTCCTGGCCACAGGAAGACAGCATGACAGGAGCCCTGGTGGGAGAGAGGAACATAAAAGTGCGTTAACCCAGGAGGGTCGGAACCAGTTGGGGTTGGATGCACTGAGTCGGTCCCCCGACATGGATCCCGAAGGCCGGGACGCAGAGAGGACCGTGCAGCATCCAGGCAGGGGGAAGGCAGGGCAGAGGCCCCTCGTGGGAGACACAGGCCATTCCGGCACAAGAGCAAAGCCCCTTCTGCCTGGTGAGAGGTAGTTTGCGCCACGGCTCCTCCCACATCGCCGTCTCACGTCCGTCACCCCGGCCCTGGCACTTACCACACCCAGACCCTACATCTGCCTCATTTCAGGCCCTGGGCTGGTCCCTGAAAAGCTGCTCTGCCCGCCGCCGCCCCCCCCCCCCCACCCCCCCTCCCCCCCCCTCTCTTTCTCTAATAAATAAAT